CATCCCCCCTCCCTTCAGACTTCCGGGAGAAAAACACACACACACACACCAACCCTCTCATCTACCAAGAGAGGTTGAGTGACCGTAAAAAGAACATAATAGGACTCCTATAGGACCGTAACCTGGGGTACCCAACTGGGATAGTCGACTTCGGGTCCGGTGACGATGCGTCTGGCGAAAGGAAAACCGCCAGGACGCTGAGATGCCCATGTTGGGAAAGCCATAGATCCCCCGGTCCGAGGCGTTCACGCCCTCCGCCGCCTCGACGCCAGGAGCGCCTGAGGACCGGTCGGAGACGTGGTTTCGTGGTTTCGGGGGGGAGGAAGAAGGAGGCGACCCGATGTTCAGTGCTGGTGGGCGTTTCCAACAGAGGTAGGCTATCCATGGCTATCCCATAGGTTCCCCAGTAGGGTCACCACTGAGGTGTCTCGTCCTGCGTCCGCGGACGAGGGAGCCACACGAAAGGCCTCCGCGGACGAAGAGCCGGTCTGCGCAGGAGAAGCGGTCATGTTTCGCCCCAGCCCCAGACTTGATCACCGGGATTCGCGGATGTACTTGTAGCGCAGCCCCAGTCAAGAGCCCCAGTCAACCGCGGGACAAGAAGTACTTGGATGACATAGTCTTCAACAGGGGTCCATGTATGTCCGTGTCAGTTTTTGGATTAGTGACTAGTGACGACCTTGAACTATATTTCTGCCGGTGTAAGAACCGTAAGAAAGCCCAAACCCTTTGGCCCCCCGATTCCTTCCCCTCAACCAAGTCAACTCGGCAAAACCCTCGTGGACCCGGATAAAAACCGACCGCGCCAGGGCGCCGAAGGATTGCAACATCTCGTGTGACAAAGAAGGACCCCGTGATAGCCACCCAGCAGAAGTCCAGCGATCTGTACCCAACGCCTCTGCACCTAGGTGGCGAGGGTGAGGATGGGTGAGGGTTGAGGCTTGGCGGAGTCGAAAGAGGCGGAGTCGGTTGAGGAAGGAACCCCTCGTTCTTGGGGGGTCTGAGCCAGTGACTCCTGGCTGCCATGGAAGCGAAATCATCCGCGCCTTGCTGCCAACCAAGGGGTGGATTCGCTGGTTGCCCACACTGCTGCAGGGCCGCCACGCGATCGCTGCCCTGCAAACCCTCGCCGATCACTTGGGGCACCACGCCTGAGCCGGTCTCCATGACTCAAAGCAGAGGAAGATGATCGAGACCTCTACGACCCTGTGACTCTTTCATCCCAATCCCATTCTTCCCCCCATGACCTCGAGCGTCAAGCACTTCCAAACACTTCAAGCCTGGGGCCTGCATCATCCCTAGAATCCAGGTTCACCTCGCTGCGAAGGCGCAACCAGAATTTGAGGAGACCTCGCCCCGATCTCAGCCCCAACCGATCTGCGGCATCCGACCGCCGAGCTGCAAGACACCCCCAAGCGGCAAATGGTCTCCGGCTGCCCTGAGGGGCCCAGCAGCTGAAGGACACCCGCGGGGGGAGAGGAAGTGGCCCCCATCCTGGCGCGTGTGCGCCCACGCCGAAGGTTTGGGGGGATGGTGGCAAAGTAGGTTGAGAAGTGTTAAGCTGGGCCAAGGTACGGAGAGGGACAGATGATCCGAGCTTCTGGCAGCGCAAGAGTAAAACGATTCACTGGCCCTGTTCCCTTTTCCTGCAGTTCTCAACGGTGCAGCAACCCACTTCCGGCAGCATTGGAAGATGCGCCTCCTTTACCAGGCTCTACGTTGTATGACAATGGGCTTCTGTATGGCCCTGAAGGTCCTGAAAGGATCTTGAAAGGCATCTGGAAAGGACATCTCCACCATGGGACTCTTCTCTTCGTCATGAGTGGCTTAAGGTCCAATCCCCATCACCCACATCTCATCACCGGTTTGTTGGCCGCCACTCCCGCAGCGTCCTCGTCACGGGTGGGAGGGCAGGGGGGGAGGCACCAGCCCATCAGGTTGACGGTAGTCCTTCCCAGGCACCTTCGTGATGCCTGGCCGGACACCCGCAGTGTTCGTGGCAGAGGATGCCAGACGAATCATAAAGCGATGTGGCTGAGTGAAGAGGATGGAGGCCACACCCTTTGAATTCGGATGGTTGTAGATTTATGCGCCTACTTGCACACATTGTCGTGAATGAATAGATGCCTGGAGAGCGATTATATAAAATGTTTGGATTCCCGGACATGCTCAAAGTGCATCCAAAACATGGATTGGTGAATATGGAAAGCACCGGGCTGTGAAAGTGAATGTGAATGAAAGCGCTGTGCAGCCATCACCAGGGAGATGAAACGGGTGTTTTGGGGGATAGAAGGTGCCGATCGTCCAGCCACAACCCCTTCTGGAACTCAACATCTCAATTCAAGTCGCCTGAGAGACCTCCAAAGTGCCTTTAAAGAACGGAACTGCAAGGACTTGAAAATAATCGCTTCTTCCCTGACCCACGTGCAGTTGACAAGCCCCCCAGTCGTCCCGGTCGTCCCTCCGAACTAGGCGCGGGGGGCTCGCCGCCCCGCGTCCGCCCTGCGTCCGCCCGGCTGGCCTTCGATCGCCCGACCGCGACCGCGCCTACCGGAGGTGGGCCGCACCAGCAAATGTTGTAGCGCCCGCCGCGCGCGATGAGCGGCACGCCGAAGAAGTGATAGCTCCGGGTGATCTGAGCCACGGGTGATCGGGGCCGGTCGGTGCCGACAGCGCCCAACGGGGGAACAAAAGAGGAGGGGCTCTTGGCCTGCGAAAGAGGGGTGGATTTGTGGCCCCCCCTGGTTCGACCTGCAACCATTCACTATACAGTGATGCCTTCTTGCTGCCGTAGCCCTCCTTACATATCTTTACATTCCGATCGCGCCTGGCAGGTGTTCCCCCAGCGACCACCAGGCCTGAAGAACCCCCACCGGACCTCGTCGAAGGTCTCGGAGACGCCCAGGTTGGGGAAGTCCGTGAGCCCCGGCGAGTCGGCTTGGCTGACGCGTTGCCAGAGACACCCGCGCGGATCCAAGGGGAGCACCACCAGTCGGGAGCCATTCCTTACGGGCCCCGAGCGGGGCGCACCGTGAAGCACCACACCGTTGAAGGACATGATCCCAAGCAGATGGCACTTTCCAAGAGAGGTCCATAGAAGTGTGTAGCCTCCAGAAGCTTGTTGGGCCCCAGAGTCCGTGCTCAGCTCACGAATCTGGTCGATCGCGCCCCCTGGAAGGAGTATTCTCCATGGGTTAGGTGCCTCTGGGCTCTGGCAATGTGTTTCTTTCAAGAAGGGGAGATCCCAGGAGTCGCAAGACGGGGTGCTGAACTTGGAGGATAGCGGTGCCCATGATCCACCACCCCTTTGTGACTCCTAAAAAACGTCAAAGTGCTGAAGCTTTCTATATTGTGGTCACAGCTGACGCTTGGAGTTGATCTGGATATGTTTCCCCGACGCCGACGGACCCTTCTGAGTTCTTCTTGGAACGCCAAGGCTCTCAATGGCCTGCCCTTCGAAACCCGAAATCACACAAGGCATACCAGCCCTGCAAACCTCCACTTTCTGCGCCTGGGGAAGGACAGCGGTGGCCGCTGCCTTTATGGGCGTGGCTCAACCTCCGAATGGTTGGATGCCTGGGCATGGTTACCCCACCAGCAGTCCAAAGAAACATACGTAACATACAACAATGCCGATTGGGGATTGAATCCTGCGCGCTTCTTAAAACCCATAATCTGAACAAGTCGGAAACGCCTCCAGCACCACTTGCAAATGTGAAAGCCAGTGTAACCTTCCCAACAACACCTGGAACTGCATCTTCATGAAGTCAAAGATGTCAGTGAAGCACCCAAGCCTCCATTAAAGCCTACCTGGATCATCCAATTGATGGCCAATAGGCTACTCTACCCTCCGGTGTGTTCACAGGTATGCCTTGTAACCTTGGCTTTGATCAGGCTCACATGTAGAAAGCTGTAATGCTTTGCCTCTTCGCTGTACATAGTCACTGACATAGTCCGTTTTTTCCGAATATTATGGGAGAGCTCAACAAGGTTCCAATGAGGTCGAAATGAGGGGACCATCTCAATCCCCCAATGAACATTAATGTTCTGGGCAAAGCTATTCAAAATCAACGTCAATGAAACCAATACGTACCAATACCATGTAAATGAATATGAGAGAAGCTAGCAGGCTTGAATGAGTGCAACATCACACCAAATTCCAACAGCGTTTCCCCGGCAAATGCGGGGAAGATGCCCAAAATCGGTGGGAGCACCGCCTTAAAGAGAAATGCACCACGCACCACCGGTGGTGGCCGCACCGACTTCGGCCGCGCCTGCTCTGTCGAAGGACCCCCGAAGTGCAAGGGACCCAAACGGACTGAGAAGTCCGCTTCCAAGGTGCAGGAGGAGGCGGTGCCGTTGCACCAACCTGGGACAAGGAGGTCCCGCTGAAAAATGCAAACAGCAAGCAGTGCGCCACGTGGGATGCAAACAGTGTAGCATGGTTGTAGCATAGTGGCATGGCACACCGCAGCATATGCAAGCTACGCGTAGCGGACAGGCGGACAGGTACATAGTGGCACATCGTACCGAAGAAACATCTTGGTGCTCCATGACTCTGAACCTTCTTGTCAGGGCTCTAAACTCTACTACACTGGCCCGGTACTTGTGGAACATCTGTCACGAACAAGATACAACCACAAAATACCACAAAAGACATATATATTGAACAACCGCAGCGGCATGACTTTCATATGCTTTGGACCAGTCTTGAAGACCGCTGCCGACCCAGCCCGCGCCCCTCGCACGCTTGGCGGCCCCCACAGAGGTCGTAGGTCCGGCCCACGGCCACGACGGGTCCGTCGCCCCAGCTGAAGCTGCGGCCATCGAAGGTCTGCGACAGGCCGCCGTTGGGAAAGCCTGGCGGAGAGTGTTGGGTGCCCAACAGGCACCACAAGACATCGTGGTGTCCTTCCTGCAGGGGCATGCTAAAAGGTCCTTCCCGTGGTGACTAGTTTAGGATGCTACTGGTCAGTGTGCAGGCGACCCTACTGGTCGAAATAGGCAAGTCAGAACCTCCTCAGCTCCGATAAATCAAATTCCCCCTAACGATCTTCAAATCACCAGCCCCTTCTAATTCATATATAACCCCATCCCACAGGCGCGGCCCTTGTTGTTACAGGGAGGGAGGGAGGGAGGGAGGGAGGGAGGGAGAGCGAGCGAGAGAGAGAGAGAGATCTATCTACACATACACATGATACATGTATACAGTATGAGCATCTTCACCCGCTTCACGAGCAGTTTTCGCTCATGTCGGCAGGAGCCCAAGAGCTGAACTGGTTTTTCGCCGAGGGCACCGTTCGCCGAGGGGCTGGGGGCTAAACATCCCTATGCGCCAAAGAGTTGTCCCCAAAAACCTGTAGCTAACCGGTTGGCCATCCCCATCACAAGGCCCAAATGTATTATAGACTCAAATTTGGGCCCATCCTCGTATCAGCCTCCTGCTCAAGCCATGATTGCACTTGAATCAGGGTTGCAAAGACTCCCCCCCCACATTTGGGAGGAATCCATGCATAGTGTTTTGAACGGAGTTCTCTCCCAATGCAACGACTACATCTTCAAATTGTTCCTGCTCTGCAGGCCAAGGTGGTCCTCCTAAAGAATCCAAACCACAACAAAAACACACCGCACACTGACTATGGGCACAGCCATGCACAGCGCGCCCCAAAATGGCACAGCGAACATACACCCACATCTCCCCGTGGCGCCGCCTCTCTCAAACACCCACATCACACCTCTCCAAAATTCCCATCAGACTCATTTCACCCACCCCACAACCACGACCGGACTCCAGAAGAGTCCTCCCGATCGGTGGGATTGCGCCTGACACCACCGTGCCTGAGCCGGCCTCCAGCAAGTAGCTACAAACCTGGCGGAAGGGGCCAGGTTGGTACGAGTACGGAAATGAATTGTCTGGTGGGTGGGTGTCACTGGAAAAATAGTTGGTGACTGAGTCAGTGGGCTCAATCATCCCAAGCAAATGGTGGATAAGGTGAGTGCGTCGCAATGGATAAGTCGCAATGGATAAGGTAGAAAATAGAAGTAATCTGAAACCACCACCGAGTGCTTTACGACCTCTCCAGTCACCATGGGAGGGTGCTTCTGAGAGAGGTATGTCCAGATCACCGATGTCAACATTCAGTTCGGCTGTTGTGAGAGCTTAACCGGTAACACCTGTTGGAAGGTCCAGGTGGTGAGCTGGTTGACACCCCTTGGGTGAGTGAACACCCGTTGCGTGAGTGCATCCCTTGAAGTGTGGGGCTGGTTGTCAGGCTTCAAAAGCCTCATCAACACCTCACACCGGTCAGCGTCTAAAGTCACCGTCATCACATCCAAAACGCCGGTCGGGGCAGGGCGTCTTGCGAGTCTCAACACCAGCTCAGCTAATCCCCTTAGAATGACCTTCTGAGATAGCAGAATATGGCGTGGCCAGTCACTTCGTCGCTGGCAAGGTCAAAAGCAGAGGTCCAGACAAGATCACACAATGCCCATGGTTTCTTCCGATCAGGGGAGAGTCATCGGCACCAACAAGCATCGAATGTAGCACAGTTATATACAGGAAAGTGACCTGTTTGCCTGCTTTCGCGGCTGGACATTCCGAACATTGGGGGCCGCGACGTGCCATGCAGAAGGTCTCAGAACATGTGGCGTGAGAGGCTTCCAAGCACCCAGCTCTCTTGGGACTGTGTTCTTTTCCACGAACTCCTCAGCGTCCCATCTTGCTCGGTGAGAGGCGCAACAAACACGCGGAGGTGACTGAGCCAGTGCCCAGAATTCGTTGAAAGGAGCATCACACATCGTTTCTCAGTCGCCTTCTTGAAAAAGCTCTGTTCAGGCCCTTACCCTTGTGCAAACCAAGAAACAGCAAAGGCTACAGGTCGGAAAAGAGGCTCTTGGGCCGTCTTCAGTTCCTTTTGCAGCTGAACAGCTGCTCCTCAATCTGCTTGTTAAAGAGGCTTGCGGCCATGATGGACAATAGTCAAGAGGCCATTTGGACACCTTCACAGTGAAAAGACATTGAAGTTCAGGCAGTTCCACCATGCAAATCCACTTTGCACAAATGATGCCGCTGGGCAACCATCAGCTGTTTCAGCGGCAGGGATTGAAATCTTGGGCAGCACATCCAGGTGGTTGTAAACACAGGCTCGCAAAAACTGAGAGGGGGGTTTAACGAAAGCCAGCACTAAACAGCATGCAAGTCCTGGTTGTACCACCAATTAGGCTGTGGTGGGTTACTTGCTGTTGAAATGTGATAGGCCGAACCAAAAATTGAAGCCATTGGACGATGCGCGTCTAAGCATTGCCCACGTTTGGGGCGCCGGCTCTGGAAGGAATGAGGCGGGGGTAACTCATCCACATGTCTGTCAAAACCTCCGGATTAGGAAGACTTGAAGGGGTAAATCATGGCTTGCGACCTGCTTCTAACCACCTTGCTGGTGCAAATGATGCCGCAACATGATCGACTTGCAGAGCACGTCGGCATCAGAAGGACCAGTAACTGTGACGTGCCGGTTGGCCCAGTTGAACAGGGCATCACTTGAGAGTGTACTGGGCCAGGGTCAATCTGGAAAAATTTGGGTCCGAGTCCTGTGTGCTTTGGAGACTGTGGCGTCTTCTTTGTTCCACACGTCTTACGCGATGAACTCATCCAGCTGTTGGACGTCAGCTTGGCCAAGCTCGGTGTCTGGGGCTCAGCCACACCTTCCACTCCGGTGTCCCACGAGGTCGATCATGCGTCAGTCCTGACGGTGGACGGTGCAGTCCGGAAGTGACGGAGCCAATTGCAAGTGGTTGCTGTTCTTTTCTTCTTTATATCTTGGGTTCCCCGAACCCGCTTGACCTTCCAAAAGGCTCAACTGCTCAACTGGCCAGAACCGTTGCGTGGCCCCCTAGTGCGGTCGCAATGGACGATAGCAACTCACTCAAAACGGCCTCCAGCAGAATGTCTTTGACGCCATTGAGTTCCCATCCTTCACCAACCATCGGCATGGCGAGACCACCCTCACAAAAACGTCCACTTCGCTCGCAGAAACGTCACTTCAGCCTTGCCTGCCGGCTGGGCTTTCGTTTCATGTCCGTAAAAATCGAAGAACCGTTCTGCTCCTGCCTTGTTGACTTTAGTCTACAGGGTAGGTGCCTCCCTCCGACCACTGTGCTGCACACAAGGAGGACAGAGCTTGAAAACATGTTTGGCAGAGGTCTTTGAGTTTTTACCATGGCACACGGCCTCCGACGCCCCACCACAGGCCACTGGTCCGCCTAGGCGGAACAGCCATCTGCTTTGGACTCAGATCAGGCACCCATTCCAATCCAAACTCTATTCATGACAAGCAGCTTCTGGAAAGAGATGGCAGCATCTTATGACGGGGTCGGGCGAAGGATTCCTCCAATTCTCAGCTACTAGGGGCTCCTGGCCTTACTACTAGGAGCAAGGATGCTACTAGGGGCTCCCTTGCAGTCAACGGAGCAACCCAACCCTCCCCAACCACCGGTCAACGGTCACTTGCCTGGTACGAGAGCATCATCTGCGGAAAGACCTGGCGGGAAACCGCCATCTGCGGAGTGCAGGACTTTGACTGGGGTGGATCTTTGCGAAGTGAGCACAGATCTTAGTTAATGGTCATGGGCCCTGTGAGGAAGCCCCTTTGAAAGGTTCCGGGCTAAATCCCTCCATCCATCTCCAGGAGCTCTGGAAAATGCTTTTTTGTTCATGGTTGTTCCGTGCTGCGGCTATGCGCTGCTGGCAACGGTACTGTGAGGAAAGGTATATAACGTGATCGATCAAGACGCTTGCAGCTGTTGATCTGCCATTGCCCCACAGAGATTCGGATGGTAAAAGCCAACGCGTATCACAAAAAAAACTCAAGCAGGTGCCTGGAGAAACTCCTCATAGCTCCTTGACTGTTGCGTGATGTCGTGCGTGTGTGCGACAATGATGCCCCCCAGCTCCTAATTGCTCCTAATCGCACTCTCCAGAGCACCAGCTACCTGTCCACACAGTGTGTCACATCACCGCCCCACACACCCCAAACAGCACAGGGTAAGAGGTGGATGACACAAGATGACACCATGTGAATTCTTATCCTTCTTAGAAGCTACCCGTGGGTCCATTCGTTCATCTTCCACACCCATGCACAGGTCCCAGTGGATGACTCTTAGCACGGTCCTTCACTCAGCAAATTACCGATGCTTTACGACCTCTCCAGTCACCATGGGAGGGTGAATCTGAAAGGATCCACCTTCATGTCCGAATGCATGTAGACCAACCACCGGCTGTTGTGGAACCGACCTTCTGGGCAGCGTTCGCTCGTCAAACACCGGACACACCGGTGGATGGTCGGTCACGTCGCGGCGCGTCGCCTGTGACACCTCCTCGTCTCGACACGCTCCCGGTGCCACATAACCTGAGGCGCAGGTTAGGAGCAGGAGGAGCAGGGTGGATGCAACGGTGCCAGTCCTTTGTAGTCCCAACGATGTTTGAGGAATTGCAACGCAACTTGACTGGCCCTTAGCTCGTGTTGAGGTCACAGAATGGTCTGCAAAGGGGGGAAGGCTCCCGGGGGATCGGTGGTTCTGTTCGGGGACGAGGTCGCTAGGAAGCTCTCATCTTCAAACCCTTTACTGTGCATTCGGAGGTGGGCCTTGGCACACCGAGATCACAGCAGGTGGGCCTTGGCCGTTTCACTTGACACCCGGTCGCTGTGGCATCGCGGTCCCCAATCAGTGGCGAGTTCTGACGTGAATATACCAGGACCCTCCAACAGGTCACCACCTGCGACGTTTAAGTCTGCAAAAGCCTCCAGAAGAGACTGCTGTTGGCTTTGGAGTTTGATCTGACTGGATGGTGCTTCAGCACCGATCCAGCTGAATCACCAGGCCCTTTTGAACATCTGTCATTCCCTTCTTCACCTCACCCTTCACGGCCTTCATCTCCCACTCTCCCTCACCCGACCTCACCCGACCTCCGCCTCCGCCTTCATGACCTGGACCCGACCTCGCCAAGCAGCACCAGGAGCCGCGGAGGTCCTTGGCGTCGCTGAGCCCCACGCCCGCTTGCACCGTGACGTCCTGCGAGATCGGCGTGCACTCCGCGCCTTTGCCTCGGCAGCTCCGGATCGACGGCGGGAGCGACCGGAACGGTGGGGTGGGCGGGAGGGTGGGTGGGCCTGGGGACAGTTGTCAGGCCTCTGCAGTGACGGTTTAGGGGTCTTGGCCCCTTGAAATGTGCGTTGTGCATCCTCGAGAACAACTACAATGTTCTTTCTTCTTTGATGCACGGCTTACCTGTGTTGCAGTTGGCTTGACGTGCGGCTTGGCAGGAGATGGCTGGTGAAGACCCGAGTTGAATTCAGAAAAACTTGTCCCTGAAAAGCACGGGGAGAGAAGCTGAAAATAAGCCAGAAAAAAATGCTTGGATCCTTTAGGACCCTCTCCCCGATCTCCAGCCTGGAACGAGAGGGTGAATTCACAGCATAACTATAGAAATGGCCCTCCATCCAAACCCCCAACATCCGGCTCAAGGGCCCCAACATCCGGCTCAGTTCATCCGTCCGTTCATCCGCGTGGCTCAAGGGGTCCGCCACTCCGCTGCAGCGGCACCGCTCGGGGCAGCCGTCCGCGCGCACGAAGAGGCCGTCGTGCTTCGAGAGGCCCACGCCCAGCAAGTCGCTCACGTTGCCTCGAAGCGACGGCCGAGGAGCGCGGGGCGGAGCGACGGCCGGAGAGACGGCCGGTGCTTGTTCAAAGAGAGGTGTTCAGAGGATCGGCCAGTACCCTGCCCCTGCACCCTTTCAAAAAGACGTGGGGCCCACTTCCGTGCCAGTCTGACCTGAGGTCGGGCTGAGGATTTCGAGGGATGGCCAGTGGTGAGAACGGTTGACCTGATTTGGGGTACCCAAACCCCTCCAGGATCGGGACTTCTGAGGTTGTGGAGGCATTGAAATCCCCCAAACTCTGGACTTCAAGCAGCCCAGAGCAGATGAGGGGTTGCAATGCTGGGATTTTGGAAGAATTCTCCACCTCAGCTCCCACTTCGCAGTCCATGGCCTCCAGCCACCTCACCCATTCTCACCTTCGCTCAGTTGACCCAGACACAGGGGCGTCCGGAGACGCAAGACCAGCCCAGATCATCGAAGAAGGGCCCCTGCGTCAGCAGCTGCGTCCGTGTCTCCAGGATGGACGGTGGGTCCATGCCGAACTGAGCCACGGTGTCCGCGCCAGTGGCGTCGGCAGGCACATGGGTTTCGGAGAAGCAGTAGACGTCATAGTAACGGCCAGGGACCAGGTTCTCCAAAAAGATCATCACCATCCCTGGGGGAAAAGCGTGGAGATCAACCCTCTGTGATCATCTGAAACAACCTGATGAAAGATTAGGCCACTCATATATTCAAGCGTGGTTAGCGCCTCCAAAATTATTATGGCCGCACCCCCTTAGGCTCTGCTCCCACTTACCTGCCGTATGTTGTTCAATAGATGGCCCACTCTCCTATTACCTGTCTTAGTCCACTACCAGAACATGCTCCGCCCTCCTGAGGGCGTGTTGAAGTAGGTGGTGCGAAACGGAGACGTCTTCAGCATCGTGGCCGTCGGGATGGCAGGCCGCTCCGTGAAGGGCCGCAAAGCCCAGGGGTAGGCTTGGCAATAGACGTCCGCAGGGCCCTTGGTCAAATAGACCTCGACTTCCGAGGAGGGAAATACAGGATACGACTGAAGAAAACCCCTGGGTTTTAAGCTGCTTCACCCTGTGTGAACATGTTTGAACGTCATAATATCGTCATACCACCCAACTGCCTGCCACAAGGCTTTTGAGTTTGGTCCGGGAGCGTTTGAGATGTTTGAGTTTGGTCTCAAGGAAGTCGCCAACCTCCTTCTCAACAAGCGGCCAGCACGTCTGCAGTGTAGTAGGAGCTGTCAATGCTGAGGACCGTGCTTTTGGGAAAGGGCGTCAATAAGTCTTGCCCTGCTTGATCGTCACGGAAGTCGTTGTATTCCGAGGTGCACCAGACATCATAAGAGGTATTGGGATCCAATTCCGAGAAGGTCACCGAAGAGAGCTCCTGCAAATCGGCCACCTTCAGATTGTCACCTTCCTTCAAGCTCTCGGCGGTGGGCAGGCCCAATTCCCGGATGTTCTCCGTGGGGAACACCTGGACCGAACGGACCCGGAGGGGTCCACAAGGCAGAGTCCAACTTGTACGATGGAACTGCCCAAGGGGGGCAGAAAGACATAGAAAGACGAAGAAGAAGAAGAAGAAGCAGGAGGAGGAGGAGGAGATCGACGATGATGATGATGATGATGATGAGAAGAATAAAAACCAATTTCTGACCTTTTTTCGGTTGGCTTCAGCCATTTTGTTCAACATCTCAACCTCTCCACCGCGATCCATCGGGAATCCACGGAGCCGAGCATGCTCGGGAATCGTCTGGTGAAGGCGCCTGACACCAAAGGTATCCGATGCTGATCAGCTGGGTGCTGACCGTAATCTCATCCCAGAACATGAGTCGATCGCGGACGATGCGCATGGAACTGATCGTAGAGTCCTCCTGGAGATGATCGAGGCGCCACACCCAAGTCTCTGGAGGTACACTCCAGATTACGTCCAAAGGGTCACTAGGAGAGCGGAGATGGGGAAAATGTTAAGGGAAAAAACGCTTGGGCACCGAATTGCCCCTAGACGCAACTGTCTGCAGATTTGCAAGTCTGAGATTATTCGTCTGTCGGCGTCTGTCGGTGTTAGTGTCCCCCCGTGATCAAAGATATCAATGTGCCTCGAGGCAGCCGAATTGTTTGCCAAAAGGGTTGACCTTCAGTCTTGGCAACTCAACGACTACTACCCGTTTTCGCGGCGCATAACTAGTGGAATGAAGGCTAGACGGTCCGATTCGAAGGCCAAATGGTCCGATTCGCAGATCCATCCAGAAACGATGGGAAAAAGAATGGGTGTGTTCAACACGAGCGGCGTTTCAACATCCCCACTTGGTGCCCAGCAGCTCCTGTCAAATCCCTTTTTGATGTGTCTTTCTTGGGGTGGAGAGGACTCAAGCCATTTAGCAGCCCCCTCTCCAAAGCCGAAACCCGTGTCCTTTTCCGTCGTGAGGCTACGCCGGGTGGCCTGGCAGTGGTCCAAGCATGTCCAAGTGTCCAAGAATAGCACCAGTTCTGAACGGCTTCCGTCCAGTCGTTTTGTCTGTAATCCCTTGAAGTCTGGGCCCCCCAGGTGAGATTGATATATATATATATACCCTAGAAGTCCAAAGACTATATTTGGCCCCACTGGAAGTAAAGCATATGCCTTTTCGGGTCGCCTAGTCAGACCATTCTTTTGATAGTCGACTTGACTCCCAGTATATAAATCTCCTAAAGCCGTACAGTACCACGTCAAATGCGGCCCCTCACGACGGCGGCAGAAAGGCGACATAGGCGACCCTTTTTGTCCACGTGGAATGCGTACGGTCGTGGCAGTCCTATTTGGTTCAGAAGAGCCATGTCAAGTTCCAACTCCTTCTCACATCCTCCAAAGCCCCACTGAGACAAAATAAACAAGCACAGCGGACGATCCATGCTCCGTTTGGTCCCCTTCCACCGCTCCAAACAGCCCAAACTTCACAGCTCCACCGCACCCGGGGCACCGCGCACGGACGGGAGCCATATCGTGCCTCCATCTGCTGCAGGACGCTTTCAGTGCCGCCGTCCGACTCAGCCATGCAGGCCACGTGGTACTCGGTCTCGGGGAGCAAGTTGCCCAGGGTCAAAGAGATGGAGGCGCCCGTGGAGGTCAAAATGGCGAAGATATTGGGCTCTCGGATCCTTAGGCCAAGCAAGGATCCGGGGGTGGCGGAGCATCTGCCGCCCCAAATAGGGCTCCTTAGGTCCTTCGGTGTTTTCTTTCAGGATTGACTGGTGTTTGGTGGGCTTTGGGCGTAGCGAACCGAACCCGGCCATCCGCCTCCCGAAAGAAACATGTTTAGGATGCACTCGATTGGTTTGAAGACCCCATGGTGCTGGCAGAACAAAGCAAGTCCTAGACTTGGATCCAAAAACACTCCACTTGGAGTTGGGCAAGGAGATTCGGTGAAGTGGACTTGAGAGTTGTACAACACTCTTCAGCACTCTTGCTCACTTGTCAGAAGCCTGCCTCGGCGGACTATGACATGGTCCTGACTCCAGGCTAACTGGGGCCCGTCGACGCAGAAGTAGCGATGCATCTGCGGATGTTGAAGAAACGACCTGCAAATCTACCTAATTACATGACCTACCATCATCTACCATCCAACTCTGCATCAGGGTGGGAGCAATATGTTCCCACTTCTTTCATCCAAATGCTCCCTCGATGGAGCTGCCCAACCATCTGAGACGCCATGAGTGGCCTGGATCTCTGCGAAGCCCGTTTGAAGGGAGCACCAATTACCAATCGGTTGCCACACCACCCCGAGGCATCCACACAAAGAAGAACCATGCCAGACAGCCTACGCCTTCGCTACCGCCTTCGCTCCCTTCCGGACCCTTCCGGACGTCCCACCGATCGAGATCCACGGTGGGCTCCGCCGTCGCTCCGCACTTCCCGCGCTTCCCGCGGTTCTCGCCCAGGCGCAGCTCACCGGAGATGGTGGGCGCCTGCGAGGCATTCACCTCGAAGGCATTGCAGAAGATCCGCCCTGGGCCGAGTTTTCACCGGATCGGTTCTGAACAATAGGGGACAGGTCAGACGCAGGTCACCGGCAGGGTCTGGGTCTAAAACATAGGGAGGGGGAAAAGGTCGGCGAAAATGAAGCAGAACATCTTCAAGGTCGCCGTTCTGTAAGGCCTAGCAGGGGGGTGTTTGAAGTGGAGGATGTGCACCTTCAGTGCACATCCTCAGCTGGAATGGCCGCATGTCAGAACCAGGACAATGGAGGACTTCTTCACCCTGACCCTTGGGCGTGCCAAGTTTACGCCAGCATGGTGCTCCAAAGTGCCGTGGGGAGTTGATTGACTCCAAAGATCTTAGGGCTATTATAGGAATTGAATCCTGCTTGCCCTTGCGAGACCTAGGTAGACCTTGGAGGTTCGCAGATTCTCCAAGCAAAATCTCTTTGTTCAGCCCCCCCGCCCAGCCGCCCTTCGCGTTTGGTTGCAGTCAAGTGGGACGAACCAAAAGGCCATACAAAACTTGGGGGTCGAAGACTAGTTTATAAATGGAACTTCCATGAACTTCCTATGTCTTCCCTTCCTTTACTTCAGTCGTGGGGCACCAGAGTAGTTGTTGGACTTCCAGGAACGGAGCCAACATGAGCCAAACTACCAATGATTCACGAACCCTGAAAATAAGGGAAACATCCCTGGTGATGGATGGGTTGCATGCCTGTAAAGAGGTCATTCTACATAGAGAAATGGTGCATGCCCACGTCATAGAGCCACCATCACCCTGATCTCCTCATCTCAATCTCCTCATCTCAATCTCCTCTCATAGAACAGCTTCCCTTATTACAGTACCTGGTGATCTATTTGATCTCATCCCAATCTCCTCCCCATCACTGCGCGTGCGGCGCCTGGCTGACTCGCCGAGGCCACCAGGCCCAGGGTCCTCCGACCGAGGCGCCGGGGCCGCGCCGCGGAAGATCCATGGGTGTCCAATAGAGACCTATAGAACATCCTAGAACTAGTGGGTTCTGAATGGTGGGTGACCTGTTGGAAGCTGGACTGTCTATAAATTGTGTCTCAACTTGACTGGATGGACCCCGAAAAGAAGAGGTTCAGGGGCCCGGTGGTCTTGCAGCTTTGGAGCCACACCCAGATGGGCGGCGAGATCACTAGACATCACACAGATGGCGGACTCAAAGTTCTTGGCCGCTTCCCGTCGGCATGGCATATGATGTCAAATCCATCTGGGCCTACCCAAGTGCCAAAGGCCCCATGGAGGCCATGGAGGCCCACAAAGCTTGGACAAAATAGTTCCATGCAGCACGCCTGTTGGGAAGACATGACGCCCCCACGCCACACCACGCCCCCTCACCGTCGGCCCTGTCCTGGCACCCACGAAGCCACCCCAAACGAAGATCTCGGGCGGAATCTCGTTGCCGCAGTTGAAGCAGCCGCCCGTCCTGTGGCCGAGCTCCAAGATCGACGTCATCTGATGTGTGTGTGTGTGTGTTCGACGAAAGGTGTCGAAAACAACTAAGTGAGTGCCCCCATGTGCCCCCCGCTACAGCACGAAAGGAGTCACAAAGGGGGTGGTTTTTAGTCCCTAAGTGAGTGGATCATGAGCACCCCTATCCTCCAAGTTCGGCACCCCGTCTTGTGACAGACTGGTATGTTCCCCTTTTTGGTTGTCAGATGTTGTGAGCCTCTCCATACTCAAACAACCGGAGCCAACTGGGCTCACTCCGTCCTGGCGGTCTGGTAGGTGCGACCGATGGCGGACCAGTTCGAATGCACCAAGGTCACCGGATCTTCGGCGGAGCAATAGGTGTTGTAGACCTGGGAGGGCAGATGAGACACCCGACGAGCAACGAGAGTGGACGCCGGTCCACTCGGAGTGGCGGGGGGGGTTATTTCGTGCATCCGTGCCTACTTCCGGAGTTCAGGGATTACAGGGTCTCTTATTCAATGAGGGATGTGTCCACCACCAATACAAGAAACAGAGGATGCCATCCACCCCAAAACACCCCCCAGTCCACCCGAAAGGAGGCGGCCTTCCTTTCTCCCCCGGCGCCGTGGACCGGCGGTGGGGTTCGGCCGTTCGGCCAACGTCCGCGACGACTCCAAGGACTCGTGCGTCGTTCGACACGCAACGCGTTGGTCGGCGAGGGGCGGTGTTGGGGAACAAAAGCCCGCTGATGGTGATGGTGTGCTCGGGCTTGGCCAAATACTTGTACTTCTGTGTGAAGCTCGCCTTGGCGTCGCGGACCGTGCGGACCGCGGACCGGTGCGGGAACCGGGGGGACCGGACACATCCCGGGATGGTCCCAAGTGAAAAAGGGGCTTGGCCGGAAGATGGAGGCGAAGATGAGGGGATGGCCTTGGGATGCATCATATTGCATCATTACGACTTGCAAATCTACTTGCGCCAATCTTCTCTGCCTTTCTTCAGCCCTTTCCCCACACAAGCTCTGCAGGAACAATAGAGAGACCTTCACGTCTACCAAGGGGTCCAGAAAACACCCGGCCCGTCTTCTTGTTTTTTCGCGGTTCCTACCACCCCTCTCAAGCAGCATGATGCTTTTTTCTCGAGCCTCCATGGACCTCTTTCTTGACACATGAAAGCGTGTCGTTGGGATGCTGGATTCATCACGCGTTTGTCAAATAAGTTGGCTTCATCTCAATGACTCTCCTGTGCCCAATGGGGTGTAGCCTAGCTGAATGGAGACGCCCACCCTGCCTGGGTAGACTGGTCGATTTTCCGAACCGAACCCACGGGGGGTCGTTGCCACACCTTGAGCTACAGAGACTGAGCCGAACGAGCTACACCCCACCAACCTCCCACGTCCAGGTGACGATTGGGGACTCTGGGAAGCGGTTGTTGGTGTCGTACTCGTCCTGGGGGCCGGAGTGGCTGAGCCGAGTGCTACATGGCTGGACCATGGAGGAAGAGTTCCAAGTCTCTAAAGGTCAAAGCTGCACTTTCTGCCTCACCCATCCATTGGAAGTGGAAGACCACCTGCTTGTAGAAAAGAATTGCCGGCAATTGTCCATTTACAAACAGGCGTCTTTCCACTTCCGTGAAGGATCATGAAGGTGTCAGAGTAGGTTGCCTGAGTCGCCTGCACCTTCGAAAGCTGCCTTGATTGACATCCTGTGAGACCTCCAAATATGCGGCCCGCAGCCTGAAGCAGCTTGCAGTTGGTGCCGCTGATCACATCCTGCCCCACCACATAGAACTCCATGGCCACGCAAAGGTCCCGAGCAATGCATCTCGCCTCGAGGTGCTCCAGCGAGGCAAGAGGTGTTCTGAGGTCATGCAATCTCCCAAGCCAAAATCCAAAAGTCTAGGTGAACCTCATCCCCATCCAAGCCGACCAAAAAACAAAAGAAAAGAAGACACACCGGGCATGCGGCACATGTGCATGCTGTGAGCCACCTGCACCACCTGCACTGAGGCATTTCCCGCCACCCCCCCGGGCACGCGCCCATTGAGCGGTGAGCTGAGCGCTGAGAGGGGGGGATCCACCGAGGACACGGGTGCCTCGCAGTCTTCCAAGGTGTTCACCTGCACCCGCTGGAGCACCGTGGCGTTCAGCTCGCTGGCGGAGAACTCGGAGCCAATGAGCGCCATCCTAGGAGTGAGGCGGAGGCGGAGGATCAGTGGGGATTGAGGGCTTGGAGGATGGAGGAACAAGAAGCTATACTAGTAAGGGGTTCAATTAGGAGGGTTTGGAGGATTTGGAGTTTGATGCGAAGCTGTATCGCAAGAAGCTGTTTGGGAGGTGGCCTTCGGAGGGTTCACGAATCACCATGCACGCACGGGTGCATCTGGAAGTCATATATAGATATACTTTATACATAATCATACACATACATATAGATACAGTATATATACAGTTGCTTCGCGCCAAAGCCTCAGCAATACACTTGTTCCATCTTGTTCCTAGTGGTGAGCAGCACAGAACTCGAGAGCGAGGGCCAGGGCTACAAGCTGCAGGGGATCAGGACCTATACTATACTAAGCAATTAACAACATCATCTACAGCACCACTGTAGGCATAGTGGCCGTCACCAATCCTCTCACATTTCCAGGACGCCAAGAACAACACCCACTTTTCGCGCCGAGCTTCGCCCAAAGCTGACCTTTCACATTCATGGCCTAGGTGGCGGCTAAGTCGGTCTGGGGCCCCAGCCCGCAGCACCCGAAACCGTTTCAAGGTACACCCTCCTCCAACAAACACGGAGGTGGACCATCCCCTGTTTTGTAGAGGAAAAACCGTCTTTCCACGGGCCATGTTCAACTTCCATGAAGCTGAAAGTGGCGAATCTCTTCCGAGGTTGGCGATAGAGGTTGGCTTCTTGAAGGATCTTGGTAGCGAGGGAGCCTGGAGTCGAACGGACCCCTGAGTTCAGGCCTCGTTGCCTTGAAATCAGCAGATCTCCTGCCTACGATTTCGGGAAATCAGCGATTTTTTGACCAAATCCTTGAGGAAGTTGAGGCGGCAACCCCTTCCTTTGAATCAGACAGACCCGCATGAGAGCAGGTGACTGAGTCCTCAGTCCTGAGCAACTGTCAAGTTTGAACGCCCCGAACGCCACAGCGCGCGCTGCAGGGCCCAGCGACACTCTCTCCCCATGATTTCAGCTCCAAGTGCGTAGGAACCCGGAGCTCGTAGCGTGCGTCGATGACACCACCTGGGCCCAGGCCCTGGCTTAGCCGAATGGAATAGCTGAAGCCTTCCAAGCAGCCGTTGGGGACCGTGATGACAGGTGGTTTCGAGCGGCGGGCGAGGAACTTCTGGCAGGCGAGGACGATGGGGTGAGACACACACATCAAAGAGCACACCAAGATAAAGACAAGTGCCAGGACAAAGAACAGCAAGACATTGGGCTATCTCAGGAGATCATGGATGTCAAACAAGCAAGCAAATCATGAGCAAATCGCATGAAGGCGTCTCTCCCCAGCCGCCACTCTCCCAAAAAAAGAAGCCTCCTGGGACTAGTCCAGATCTCTCCAAGGCACAGTAGATGTTGGCCTCAGCGTACGCAGCGTACGCACCGTACGCACGTCAGGGGGTCACGTCAAATCCCATTCCAGCTTCAGGCTTCAGGTCAATCCCGGACGTTCTGTCTGGCGGGACACTGCGGAAACCTTCACCCCAAAAAACTCCTCATCTCCTACACCTCACACCTCTCCCCCCCTGCTCCCTCCGCCTCGCGCTCCACGTTGAAAAGGATCTTCGTCACCGAGGTCGAGATCTCCAGCGCCGTGACGTTCAGCAGCGGCGCCGTGTCGTTGACGTCGCCGGCGTTGGCCGTTTCGGCGGCCGGCAGGTTGCCCACCACGGTGTCGCCCGGCACGTGGTAGCGGCAATTGAGCTGCCTCGGTGGAAGGGGGTGGTGGTGTGGTCCTGGGTGTGGAGCGCTTCGATGTTGTGCGGTTGGGAGGAAGAACGCTACAGTTCTACACCACCTGAGGTAGCTTGATGATGAGCACACCGAGCCCACGAAAGCAGGGCTGAGCTGATCTCGGATCAGTAATACGTATTCATGCAACTATATATATATATATATCTCTTGCCAAAGCCTGCGACGAAAATCCCGAATCTCCTGGTTCTCTTGCTGTTACTAGCTTGTCCAGCCCCCCTGCGGTTCTCCGGAGCCAGTTCCCCGGCCTGGGGCCTGACATGTTCCCGAAGTCCACAGGGTTCGCACCAATCCACTTGGCATTCATCCGGTACCAGACTTCCTGCTGGGATGTGCTGCAAAACAAGGACGCTCCTAGATCACAGAAACCCTAGATCACAATGGGCATTGGTGCTCATCGCCTCAACTCGCTTGCCTGTGCATGTGTGTGTGTGTGTGTGCGCCATCCACTCAAGTCATCTTGCAAGAAACCTGCAACCAGAAGTTCCGGGACAGGGGATGGATTGTAGACCCAACTATACTCTCAAACAGCCGGTGGGTACCCCTGAAAAATACAGAAAGGTACGCACTACTACAGCTACAGGCCCCAGTTTCTGAGCGCTGCAGTTTTGAAACCTGAGCTGGTCTTCCAACGAAAAAAACACCTGCTCAGCCCGCAGCCTGCGGATCACGCCACGGGCAGCAGTTGCTGGGCTGCTCGTAGGCGGGTTTCCACAAGGTGTCGTTGAATTCCTCAAGGTACATGAAGAACAAACCAGCAGGGAGGCACCCGCTCAGTGCACGACGGGTAGCAAGATACAAATTATGCCTAGCGCTTCCAAACGGGTGTCCCATTCCCAGACCGACAAAAAAGCCTGCTGGTAAGTCTTCTCTTGACCAAAGATCTACCAAAGATCATGCCCAAAACATGAATGAGCCCCCAACACATTCAGGAGGAAAAGCTGGAAACGATGTCCAGATTCTGCAGGGCTCACCTCCTGGGCTCACGTCACCCATGTCGCACCCTCGAGGCACCGGTTCAGCATGGGCACTCACGGGGTCACCCCACCCAGGAACCCAGTGACTGCCGTTGTCTTCCACCGATTCTCAGAGATGAGAACCACATATGCCAAATGTCTGCCTTTGGCTGGTTTTTATGGGCGAAAAGGCAGACATTTGGCATAGATCCAGGTACGACTTCACCAACTTCACCTGGGGGGTCCTCTGGCCGGATCACTTCAGTCAGGTCATCCCACGCAGGCTGCCCAGCCACTCGGAAGAAGAACGGCGTGCGCTCATCATTGTTCTCCTTCTCCTGTGCCGTGCAGCTTGCTGTGTTGGCTGCGACGGAACAAAATGCCGTGCCGTTTACCTTCCATTCGAGCATGTCAAAAATGGTTGACCTGGCTTTGTTGTGTCAAGTCCTTGCTAAAACAAGGGTTGTGTTTAAGGGTGGTTGAAATCCTGGCGTAATGTGTGACAGAACATGACATAACCTACATCGGGGTTGCAAAGGAGCTAATTCAATGCTGACTGGACTAGGGAGGCATGGTTCCCTTATTCCCCACTCAGCACCAGTCAGAATGTAAGGGCATCTGTTCCAGACATGGTGTGTGTGTGGCTTGCACACTACAACAGAACCAATCGGATCCCTCCTGCGTGCTGCATTTGAGGTCGCTCGTGGACAGCCTCGGATTCCGGCATGTTCCGGTCGCCGACTGGCCAGGGTGGCCTGCGAAGAAGGGGAATGGAGGCAGATGTTGCACCCATGGCACACATGGGCGAAAAAGGGCATCTTATGGCGGTAAGGACTCTCCAACTATCCTGGGGATCCAGGAGCTACAGTTTATGGAGTGGATCTTTCAACAGTGCGTAGTGGCACCACCAAGTCAACAGTGTGCACATCACTTCCATCTCCTGAACCACTCCTTCTTTCGCCGAGGGGCATCCCATTGCGCGAGGCCATGATCATCCCGAGGGGTGCCGGATACTCGGTGTTCTGTCCCAACGCATTCGAGACATTGACCAGCTCCGGCCTGCAACGAACGCACCGGTTTTCTCCGCACACCGGGCGGAAGACGGAGACGCTGGGGACGACCTTCGGTGCGACAAGGGGACGGAGTGTATCCCGGCTGCGGAGGCCTGGAGAGTTCCAACCGAACGAAGCATGCCATGTGTGGCGTAGGTGCCAGCCTGTCCTAGTGTTGTTGGTCCTCTCCTTTGATGCTGCTTCCCAGGGGTCTCACATTAGGATCATCACAAACAAGCTTTGCAAGAACCTGTCTAACAGGTCTTTCCAGTTGAGAGCGGGTGCGAAACTTGATGAATCTCAAGCCGGGCCCCCGCTATATGCCTTGTCCACTTCTTCCAACAGAAGAAAGCCGCCAAATGTAGTCAAAAGGAGGTACCAACGTAGCAAGCCATGACCTAACCACATCGGGAACCAGTGGTTCCAAAATACCAAGAGATTGAGCAGCCGTATAGCATCTTATAGCCTATCCGGGCCTATCCCATATGTACCAATACAGGGTCCTAGTGCAGGTCTCTCAACCTAGTGGGGGAAGCTTGGCCGTCCTCATCCCCACTCCCCTCCTCATCCCACCGGGTCCAGCCTTGAGGTGATCAGCCTGAACGCCAGCACGTCGCCCTTGTCCAGGCCCAGTGGGAAGACCATCACCTCCGGTGCCAGACCGACGTCTGGGGTCTGTAAGCATTTCAGGCTCAGCGGGTTTTGGGATCTGCGATTCAGGGTGCAACTGGAGTGGTCTGGAAAAAATCCCAGTTTGGAGAGTGGACTGGTGCGAAGACATTCACCCCCAGCAGTTCCAGCGATATGGAAACGCCACCTGGTCTGGAAGATCTGGAAGGCTGAAACCCATTTGGACCAAAAGTGGTGGCTTTGGAGCGCCCAGGTCGGGTCTTCCCCATCTCCGGCGCCTTCGCCGGCGTGTCGCTGGCCACCACGCGTCTCACCCCGTTCCTCGCGACCGGTCGGGGCGACCCGGACCGGGAGGGGTAGACCCAGCAGCCGTGCACGTCTGGGACCACATCCCCCTGGAGTTCGCTGGCTTGGCCATCCCAATGCAAAAATGGGCCCCAAGTGGAAGCAAGGAGCCACGCAGTCGCAAAAACTGCTTGAAGCTCAGACCCATCCAGCAACTGGATCACGGTGCCATTTACCACTGTGAGATACGAGATGATACGATATGATGCGAGATGATACGAGTAGTTAGCAGTGCTGAGTCTTTTCTCGGCAGGATCCTAGGGCCTGAGCGCTTCCTTGCTGCACCATTTGGAACCTCTGCTGCCTGGCATACAAAGTCACCCCTGTCTAGAAGGCCTGTGTCAACAAAAGGTTGGTGCTCCAAATCAGGAGCCACTCATCATGCTCTAGGTAGTTAGTTAGAGGGATTTCTACACTTCTGGGCGCCGACCGCACTCCACTCACCTATAGCCCTTGAGCCACCCCTGTGCAAGCTTCCTTGAAGGTGAAGCACTTTGGAGGGAACCCTCCCATCTCGAATATGAACGATCTGAAACCGCTGGAGATACGAACCTAGGAATCCACACGTCCCGCGCCCGCCTCCACCGCCCCAGGTTGACGAGTTGCAATGGAATGAGGGAGGTGGAAATGTCAGCGGCCACATACGCCCTCAGCCAATGCAACATAAGACCGATCCAAACAGGGCAGGGGGGGGATCATCCAGCAGGGCAGGGGGATTGGTTCCCAAATGTCCATGGATCTGTCGACCAAGCACAGCTGCCGTCCGAATGCCTCCTGGAGCAAGGCACTCATACGGCCATGGGAAACCCTCCCAAGTAGGGAGACCGAAGCAGGGACATTCAACTCGTGGAGGGCATAGTGGCATAGACATGCATAGACCATCTTACCTGCCTGTGGATGAAGAGTTCCCGAATCTGATGCCAAAAGCCCATCATTTGCATTCAGCATCCGCCTTCTGAGAGGGGTGATTGCAACTCAAATCGCCGATTCAACTACACGCCTGGATCTTCCTTACCTTCCACAGTTCTCTCAATAAGATTTGTGTGCAACCCCCTCCTTACATCCTTCGCACTCTGTGGGGGGGGTCTTTCCATGCCTTTCCATCATCAAGGCCCTTATTTGATCAGTCACACCGAGGTTTCACTGCTGTTTCAGTGCCACCGGCAGGCCGCCTGAATGCTGCTCCAGCAGCCCAGACATGGAATGTAAAGCCTCTTCTACCTCCCCTAGCACGATCCCAACGCCAAACCTCTTCATGCCAGGTATGAGTGCAGTTCACGGTCATTCTTCGCTTCTGGCCGTATCCCCAAACCCACCCACGACCTGCGCTCAAGGGAGGTTGGTCCAGTCGCCCATTGTGATAGACATCCACATAGGTATCCCCTTCGATTACCAGCGCCACCAAGGCCAGCCAAGCGATCCGGCACCTCGAGGGCCAAGATCAGGACCGCCAAGAGGGGGGGGGGGGCGATCCCTCAAGAGGGTGCCGGGGAACCAAGGGGCCATGGCTTTTTGTTGCATGCTCCATTGTGTCCAAAAAAGGAATCCATGGGCCAGCCTGGGGGGTGCTGCTGGAGCTGGGTTGGGGCTTTCTGGATTCTGCCAGCCCTCTTAAAGAGGTGCCTGGCTGGCTCCAGCTATTTTGACAGCGTTTCTTCCGCCAAGGACTGGGAGTGCAGGGTCCAAAAACAACATGGTTTTCTCTAGGTGGGGCCACCCGCTGGCTTGATGGTTTACATACCCACATGGACTGGGCGGACGAGCTCGAAAGAGACGAGGGACACATCCAACCAACGGAGCCTTCCACGGTTCTCGATTCTCGCGGGGGTCCAGCGGTCCATCGGACCAGCGATGCTAAACGCAGCATGTGCACCGCGTCCGCGGAGCCAAGGCGCTGAAGCTGCAGGAGCAGCACACGCAGGAGCGCGGCCTCGAGGTCAAGCAGCGCTTCGAGGCCCAACGCAGGTTGACGCGTTGGCAGAACTTGAAAGGAAAAACAGGGGTGGGGTGTTGACGTGCAGCGCTAGGCTGGGGGACGTCTGGGGATGTCAGAATGTCCACTAGGGGACAGGAACGCCCGGCACCACAAGAACAATCCCTGCCTGTCCTGCTCACAGCCTATCCGCTGAACGCACAAGACTGGTACGGAGATAGGAAAGTCATATGCAACTGTTCGCTGGGGAGAAGAATGTGGGGCCCCTGTGAAGCAGCATCAACCCTTTTTCACACCTCCTTGATGATCCTTAATGTAGACTCTTGATTGATAAAGCCCCCATCTAAAGGGATTTTGCAATCCAATTGGGGGGCTTGAGTGGTCAAGAGTCTGCATGAAGCGATCTGCTTCAGGCTTGACCACCTGCAAGATCGCTTCCCTGGACAGTCCTGGACCATGAAACCCTGCCACATCCTCTGCACATGACATAACTCTAGTGCTGTGATATGGATGTGGAATGATGTGGATATATGTCATATGTATGTCACATGTCATATGTGGATCATGCACCGCGTGCGCCCAAGCCGAAAGGCACTCCGAAACACATCCACGTTGCCAACTCTGTCTGGCTAGAAAAGGTCTGTCTGGCAACAACAGAGGTTCTTCAGAACCCGACTGTTCGACAATCCCATAGGAATACACTTCACCAAAGGTTCTCCCACAAGTGTTCGACTCTCCCATAAGAACCCGACTGTTCGACTATCCCAGTTGGGCACCCCAGGTGACAGGCCCGAGACCTTCACGTCACAAAACACGGAAAGTCGGGCGGTGCCGCCCAGAGGCGGATCGCATGCCGGGCGCGAGCGGCAACACAGCGCGCGGCGCGAGCTACCGCGGTGGCCGTGCACCTGATTGGGGGGCGGGTTGGGGCAGTCATGGGAACAGTGGAAGTTGCTTGGGAAAAAGCTGGCTTTTGGAGCGAAGAAAGGTTTAGTCAGTGGAAGCTTTTTGTTGTTCAACCATCACATCAGCTACCCCAGCTCCATGGTAGATCCTTAATCTAAAGTTCTCGAAGCTTGATATTTGAATCGACGGTAGAACACCATGGAATCTATACCCACTGACCGCAGCGGCTTCTTCAGGGCAGTCATGCAAGGAGTTCCTTTTTGGAGGGTCCTCCACGCTCCAAATGTTTTGGTCAGGAGCAGACAAGGACAGGCGAATCAACTCCAGGAGCATTCATGGACCCTGTTGGGGGTTGCATGTGTCCCCCCATCTATATAAACTTCCCGCTGCCGAGCCCACAGGTGGGCGCCATCTAAGCTAGGTGTGCCAGGTTCGTGGGCCAGCCAACAGCCAACACACCCCAGCTCACAATTATGCAAATAATGTATATTTTATATGCTCTTGAACCAAGCGACAAGCCATCCAGCTGGTCCGGTGCATGGCAAAATCTTCGAACGTTCGGCCGTAAAATTCTTGCAAGAAGAGAAGTTGAGTCACTTGAGAAATCCCCTTGCTGAAGTTGGATCAGGCTACAACAGTCCGATCATATCACTGAAAACCAGTCAAGGCGACATCTTTCATGTGCTGATGAGTCTGATGCTGGTATGTTCTGGACCATGCCAAGTATATAAGGGATATAATATATATATATATATAGATATACTGTATAGCAGTATAGCATTCTATAGCAGTAGCATTCTCATGACACGCCATGACGCGCCCGGGTGCAAGCATTGCTCCTTTGGAGCGTGCTTGATCTTTCGTTCGCACCCGAAACGGCTGCACCGCTGGTGTCGTGCTTCATTCGGAACACTTAGTGGATCAAGTCGCCCCCGCCCATCGTTCAGGGACGTTGCAACCCGCCTTCCCCCAAAATTCGATGGGGTTGGTTTGATGGGGTCCATGCGAAGACATGCCAGACTCTTGGCAGGCGCCTGTGGGTGACGCGGTGGGCATGAGTCATGAGGCTTTTTGAAGTATGGATCTTGGATCACAGTTGGCAAGGCTTTCGAGATTTCAGGAATCTTGCACCAAAGACACAGCCCGCTTGGCCAATGAAGCCCCCCGGAAGCCGAAAGAAAAACCATTTAACCCAACCAGAGACATAGTACAGTGGAGGGTAGTCCAACAGCTCATTCACGTTCATCTAGTCATCTCTTATCCAAGAGGCCAGACTCCTCATAGACCATCCCCCCGCCCAACCAAAGCACCACACCGCGATGGCACTCACCATCCGCCCACCTGTGAGCACAGCGGAGCTGCTACTGCCACAGCACAGCCTGCCGGGCCGACCCCTCCGCGCGCTGCCGTCCATCGCCTTGAACCGCGAGGTTGCCGTGCCGTGCCTGGATGGCCACCAGCTCGCCTCCCGGTTCCTTTGCCAGGTCTTGGTGTTCTTCTCTTGCGCCCAGCCCTCGCCGGCCGGGTCTCGGGTCTCGGGGGTCTCGTTTGGCGCAGGCAGGTGGAGAAGATGGGACTCTCCAGACCGTTTGGGCCGGGAATTTAAAAAAGAACGGGTAGGTCGCAGGCCTAGGCGGATGAACCTTCTGCTGGTGTGATCGGTCTCAACATGCCATGCTCCGACCCCAAAGGCCTACGAAATTGCTCAGTAAGGCCAAGGTCATGTATCGAAGCCACCCCTTCTGCATCGCACCCCACACCCCACACCCGCACTCCCTGACCCCCTCACCCCCACGCGACCCGACGCGTGGGAAACACATCCAGATCCGGTCAGATCCTGCTCCGCGAGCGGAGCGGCCTTGACTTTGAGCTCGGGTGGCTTCAGCAAGGTGGGCGCAGGCACATCTTCCAAACTCCCATCCAAGTTGTTCCTCCCAGCCAGCGAGGAACCGGCGCGAACAGAACCAGAGCCAGAACCCACCCGGTGAAGGACGTGAGGAGAAAACTCGTGCGTTGGGAACTAAGAGGAAGAAACCTCCGGAGGAAATTGGAACAAATCCCCCCGGCCGATTCTTCTTGAAAATGTTGCCGGGCATCTTCTACTGGGAAGCTTGAAAGAAACATATTGAAAAAGTCAGCATCTCACAACCCTTCCCCATCAAGTGTGCTTCCAAACCGTGCCAGCGCTCATCTTCGAATCGCGAGCTCGGCCGCGGCCTGTAGGGGAGGCGCCCTTCGGTTCCGGAGCCGAAGTAGATGACGCTTCCATTCTGCATCAGGACGACCTCAAGCCGAAGGGGGGCACGGACTCGGATACATAGACGGAATGGCATGGGTTCTTTCCAGGTGAAGTTGTGCTGATTGGAGGCCAGGTATGACATGGTATGACGACGGAGTTCGGGCCAGCTCAGGAATCTTTTTGGCGTCAGGGGGTCTCATAATGGCGCAAAGAACCAAGAACGTCACCTGTGTCGATCTTTCAGTCCACACTGTCTGGAGACTCCAGCTCTTAGCAAGTGAAGCAGCTTCTGGCTCTCAAGCTTCAGCGTGCATCAGCTGCTTTTCTGCCAGACCAGGCTCTGAACAGGTTCTGCCCATCTTCGCACCACTTCGCACCAGGCTCTCCTCCCATCTCGCGTCCTTCAGACTGAGCACCCCCACGGTGTGCAGGGGACCTGCAGCAATCTGATAGACCTCAAAGGATCGGTTTGGGCGGCGGTTTGGGTCGGTTTGGGCGTACAAGGGGTGGAGGGTGGAGGGTGCCCGCTCGACCACTCGCTCCTAGCACTATCCCCCGGGCTTTCAACCACCTTTGATTTCATGGTCTTTTACCCAGGGTCCGTGAGAAGCGTCACACTGCCCACAAGAGAGAGAGAGAGAGAGACCCAACCATCATTGTTCTACTAAGGGCTTTTTGCACTACAACCCCAGGCCCACCGTTTTCCATGGTCTTGGACTTCCAGGGGCGCTGGGCTCACGGAAGACGAAAGCTCCAGCCGCCCCACCACCTGCGGACCATTCCACCACGCCACCTTATGGGGGAAGTTCCATCCGCCTCCGGGCAGGAACGCCTGCATCTACCAAGCCCACATGGATGTAAAAAAACAACAAACAAAACAAAAGCATGCAAAGCACAAAGGTTCACCCTGAAACAAACAGGGTGAAAAGAATCGCCTGGACTCCGCCCGGGCCCCCCCCGGCGGGATCCCGCAAGTCCAGCTTCACCTGTGGGGGGCCGAGGTTCGGACGGTCTGCTGGGAGCTGGGGTGCGGGAATTGGATAGGAATCCGTGCCCCACGAGCAGGGAACCCATGGTGAACGGGTCGAGTTCAAGGTGATCCAGGCGGACCTTCCTGCGGCACGGATCATGATGGATCTGACAGGAAGACTGAACTACCGATAGGAAGGAAAACTCGTGCCAAAAGCCTTCGAGTTCAAGGTGATCCAGGCGGACGAACGTCCGGCACACAATGATTGATAGGAGACTGAACTAGGAAAAAAACGACCGACCGCAGTCGAGTTTTATCACCTCGCGAAAGCGATCGCCTCAAACGCGCATGACATGCGATCCGGAGCCTTTTGCGCGACGACATGACATGCCTTTCCGAGCTGTTTCAGACCTGTCAAACTCAGCAACTATGCGCAAACTTCAACCTGTCCCAAGTTCGAGCGCTGTCAACCTCTGGAACAACATCGACCAAAAGACTGCACCATCTTCGGTTCCTTGTTGCTGGCTTCCTTCCGTGCGAAAAGGGCCACTTGAAGCTGCGAAAAGGGGACCAAACACTCCTCCCTCAACTGTCGCCACACGTTTCTGCGAACCTCTCCCCCCAAAACCAACGCCTGGCGTGGGGTGGTGATCACGTCCGCCACGTCAAAGCCAGTGGCCGGACCCTTGCCCCAACTGTAGAGCTGACCCTTCACCGACCTCGGGTCCGACCCAGCACCGGTACGGCCGAACAGGACCGCGGCGTAGGACAGAGGTATGCCTTAGGCCGGACATATGTTCCAAACATAAGCAACGGGCCCCCCCAAAAAGAATAATGCGAGTCGTGTGTTGCAAAAGCTCTGGAAAAAAGTGAACGAATCTACAGTTAAATCAAACTGCAGGTATATCCGCATGCATGTCACTTGGGATTTTTCCCAAGTGATTCTAAACATACCCTCGTGCTTCCGAGGACCACAAAACCCCGGGAAAAGGTGGAGACCTCTGGTTGACATCATTGCCGGCTCAGAGTGCCACCCTCTTCCACCATCTCTCCACCCTCTTCCACCCATCGTTGGCACAACGACGGAACCAGGCACCCGAGCTTGGTGACAGAGTGCATCAAGCCCAAGGCCACTTGCGACATGGAGAGTCCCGACAAGCTCTCCACCCGCGCGGGGGACGGCATGTCGGTGCCCACGCCGTGCCCGCAGCGGCCGTAGGAGCCTTGGCCCCAGGTGAAGAGGCCACCCAGTTGGTCCACCGCCGCCGTGTGCGCCTCGTCCGGAACGTGGGGTCTCTCCGTACGCCGCCCGGAAGAGGTGGACGTCGTCCCGGCGCCGGGGAGCAGGTGTTTGAGGGAAGGTGGCTAGAGCCTTCATCAATGCGGGTTGTGGGAGAATGGGACTGGAGAGTGGAAAGTGGAGTGGAGAGAATGCATCGGCTGCTCTTCCTTCGGTGCATGTGTGGTTTCCGGTGGTCCAGCTTCTTCTCAGGTGACCTTTGACACCCCAAACCCATCGCCTCCCCCGCGGCGATGTAGGTCACTTTGACGCCATGGAGGTTCGACACTTGCCTGGACAGATCGGTCCGGGGATGGACCAGAGTTGCGGCCAGTAAGTGGAAGCCCTTCATCCCCAGCATGGTTGGGGGAAGCTTAGCTCACCGTTCTTTCTGTTTGCTGAAGGAGTGACCTGGAGCCCAGATTCCATGGGTGTAAAGGTGAGTGGATGCCTTACATTCGTTACATATGTCCAATATATGCGCTCATTATTTGTTGTATTTGTATTTTGGGATCCTGAAAGAACTGTGACCCTCATATATATATATATAATCCAACAAACAAATGCATGCATAAAATCACTGGGTGTTGTACAGTTCAATGTTCGTGTGACTGGGAATAACACCTCAAGCAGCCACCCTTGCCACCAAACCCAGCTCACCAGCGTTGAAGCCGCTTGTGCAATCATGTCTGGTTGTGGTCAATTAAGAACATTCCACCGTGAAAGAAATCATGAAGAAAAACGGATCGCTGCACCCCCCTCTCAGCGGATCGGAGCTCTTTTTGGGGTCAGGCGAAGGGGTCTGCGAAGAGGTCGTCCACACAGAACTTGGGCTCCTCCCGCTCGTCCAGGAGGCGACCCAACTCATTAATCTGCTCCTCAGATGCTCGGCCGCTCGGCCCAGGTCTCGAGACACCGTGCTGGACGACGCCGGTGGTCCCGTACGGGACCGAAGGACCTCATGTGCTCACCATGTGTGTTCAGTCGTGAGCACACTCGTTGGGGCTACGCTCCCCGGAAGTGGAAAATGGTCTTCCGAACTCGGGGCCAGGCCATCCACGTAACCATGGCCTGTTCGGAGGGTAAGAACAGTGGCCGGCGGCATGAAAAACAATATTCTACCCTATGGAACATTCTCTTCTACTTCTAGTGTGTGAACGAGAACGAAGCTTTGGAAAGGTCTACCGTCAGCCGTTTGACTCAGCAGCATGGAAAGGCCTCTACAATCTACAAATGGTGAAAGGGATTCCTACAACATCAAGGGCTCCAGTATAGTCTTCTCACCTGCGCAAAGAAAATAACGGCAGGGGGTTGAAGAAGGTCCTACCATCCCCTTTTTGGTCTGGCTTAATGTTTATGAAGATTGAGATCCCTGCCAACAGGCTTGAAGGACCACCATGTCCGATTGTCCGGCGATACATGTAGTTAATCATCAATATGTTTGCAGATCTAAAGGCCACCGCTACTGGTATCTAGCCTCTTGACAAAACATCAAACTCCAAGAACAGCTCTTTCTTGCTCATTCTATTCCGATATTCCGTCACCACTCCATAGCAATGCCCTTTCACCTAATAGACATAGGCAAACAGTCTCAAAATCCCCTGGACGGATCTCAGCCCAGCTTCAATGATCTTCTTCTCTTCGTTCTCCTGGATCTTTCTCTTCACCCTCCTCGCCTCCTCCTCATCCACCACCGTGCAGGGCGCGGGCTTCGGCTTCGGCGCCAGCTTCCACTTCTTGCGGCAGGCGGCCACCTCGCCGATTCCCCGGGCCGTTCCAAGGGGTTCTGCGACCCCCACGCCTTTGCTACACCCCTTCAACTACTCGGGCCACAGCAGGGGCATTTGCAAAGCCTTTTTTGATTTTTTTGAGGGTCTGGATCTTCAAGGCCATCGCAGGAATCCGAAGTTCGTCTCCCTTTCTTCGAAAGCCCAGGCCTGCGGGGTCAACTCTTCCCGCGGCAAGCGCTCCAGAAGCTCCATCAGCTTCAGCTTCTCCGGCTCCTTGTCAGCTTCGACGGCGACGATTGGGGACGGAGGGGCGTCCCAGGTGGGCGCGTCCAGCTAGAATCGGAGCGCGCCCTTTCATAGAACTAAATGGCCTTTCCCTATCAATGGGTTCTAGGCTACTAGGCATGTGTGTATAGAAATATCTGCACATAACAACATTGTTGACTCACATAAAGATTATCTATTTTCCATTGTTAGTCATTAACGACAAGAACAATTCATTCACGAACTCACCCTGAAGCACATGAAGTGTGGCTGGATCGCTACGACTATGTACGGCAGCACTGGCAGGCAAGATTCAACTACAGTCCACTTGCAAATCTTGGGGAGGCTCCACGCCAAATCAGTCCTTTAATTCGCCCTTGGTAGTGGCTCTGTTCTGTTCTGCGAGCCTCTCATCCGAACGCAACCGAACAAAGCCACCAGATGGCCATGTTCGGATGGCCCGTGTTTGCGGTCATCCGCTCCAGTCAAGAAATCATGAACCGCTGAGGGTCAGACATCATTGATTACAGCATATCACAGCTATACAATTATGGATATGTCATATATGTGATGTATGACTGCGGGCCCACACCTGGATGCCGACCGCTTTGACCTACGAAGTTCGCTCCACGGTGGAACCCCAGGTTGAACGACCCCATCCCCATGCTGAGACCCACTACACCATCCTCGGCCTCTCCTTGAACTTCAAGCGCTTCAACAGCCCCAGCGCCGCCCGCGCCACGGGGACCTCGGGAAGGGTGGGCCCGAGAACCCCGGTGCATCATGGTCGGCAGCTGTCCAAACTGATGGGCCGATGGGTGATTGAAACCAAGCTACTACTAACAAGACGCTACAAAGGTGGAGGCCATTGCTACTAGTAGCAAGAAGCTACTTGAAGCCATCCCGCAAAAGATCGTCTCTTGTAAGAAGCCCGTCCCAGAGAGGATGGAAGAACAAGGTGCTCCAATCCACCACCCAGCTACTAAGCAGTGAGGATGATAAACAGCGGGCACTTGGGACCGCATGCGCCACGTCGACTTCATAAAGCAAGTGTCCAACCCCGTCGCCACCATCCGCCTATCGATTTCTTTCGCGTCCTCGCAACCCCAAACCTCGCCCCTTTCAAGGCCTGCGCCCACCCTAAAGGACCCGCACCCGCGCCGCGCCTGGCCTCATCTTTGAAGATCCACTGGCACAGCAAATGGTGCCCATTCAGCTCCACCATTCGCCCGAGACGGCCCTCCTCCGTCTGCTGCAAGGCTCCCAGCACCTGTTCACAGCGCCGATTTCGAGCATCGGGCCGTGTTCGGCCGTCCTCAGCGGGAAGAGGAGTTTTGGTGCCTCGAAGAAGTAAGAGGCGAAATGAGCTGCAGTTGGGTGGTTGGGCTGCCTGGAATGCATGTTCAACTCGTCAACCAACTCGTCAACTTTGAGAATTCGTCAACTTGCGAATTCTTCTCCTGTCCTCCCCCTGCCTTCCCGTCCTGCCAGACCTAGCCTACCCAACCACCCGAGATGGAGGTGTTTTGGACCCGGCCCATCATGACCACAAACCGCTGAACGTTCCATGTGCCAAACCCCCTCGGTTTTGATGGGTACATCGGCTTTAGACAGGTCTAAAAACCGAATCTTGCAAGTCCAGGGGACAAGTTCCGCGGAACGTTCTCGAATCTCATGCCCGTCGCCTTCCCCCCCTCACTCGCCTCGAAGCGCTCCTTCGGGGTCAAAGGCGAGGTGGCCAGGCAGCCCAGGAGGTCCTTCATCTTGCCAGCTTTCACCTACCAGGTGGCACAATGGGTGCTGAACCCCTAAGAAGCGAGAAATGGACTAAAACCCATGGGTCTCCCCATCAGAACACATCTCATGTAGACAGTTGATGAATACAACCCCCCCCATGTTTGATGAAACCTCTCCATATGTGGAGAGTTCTTATTCATCAAGAATCAAGAGGCTACCTCAAGGCAGGCCCATTTTTCACAGGTTCACGGCTTTCACATCTGTTCCGGCGGGCGATCAAACGACGCTTTGTTGGCATCCACCTCTATCTGTAGTTGGCTCCGCTCTTCACCCCACACCCACCTGGCCATTCTCCAAGAAGGCTTGGAATCCCTGGCCACGCACCGTCGCAGCAAGCACCGACCCAAAAACAAGTAAGAAACATTGAAATCTCACTCGCACTCAAAGGCCCGGCCCCTTCAAAAGCAGTTGCCTTCGTCTCCTCCTTCGTGTCCGTGACTTCCAGCCTTCCAGCGGTTCTGGGGCGAGACTTGTTCAACACCTGGTGATGAATGGGACTTTGGGGCCATCTTGGAGTCTTGGAGCAATCCAAATCACCAAACTGCCATCAGCGTCTGCCCTCAGCGCGGGTTTGCACATCATGCCAAACAGCCCAACCGATGCACACGTGCAGCCTCTCACACCAAGACTCTCCGCCTCACCCGTTGCCCAAGGTCTGGATGATAAGTCTGGATCAGGAAAGGTCGAACACCTTCGACCTTCCACGCCGTGCTCCACGGCTTGACCTCTTCCCCTCCCAGCCACCCCCCCCCCGAGCTGCAGCCTCTCTTCAGCCGTGTGGACGTCAGCCACGGCGGCCGCGGCGCCGCTCCGCCGCCGCCGGACCTCGCGCCGCAGCCTCGGGCCCGGGGACTCTCAGAAGGCTCGAAGTTCTGGAGGTGGGTGGGGGGCACCTATAACAACTCGAAAGCAAACGATACAAATAGAATTAAAAAAAGGAAGAAGAGTTTGAAAACAACCATGCACCATTATACAATATTGATGTGTTTAGTTCATCTTGTTCAAAAAAAATGGAAAGCCTGCCAGGTTCTTGGTCACTTTCTTTGGAAGCCCTTGCGAACCGTGTCTTGTCCTCTTGGAGTCCTATCCTCCGGCCGCGCTGGCGAACCTGTCCTCCTCTTGTCTTCCTCCTGTCCTTCTCTTGTCCTCTTCTTGTTCCCCCATTGTTCCCCAAACAGTTCACTGTTGGTGTTCTCTTTCAGGAAAAATCGGGGATGTTTGCCTGTGGCTATGAATGGTTCAAATTTGATATCATCCTGCTCCCAAAAAGCCGCTTTTTTGCCTACATGCTGTTCCCAAACAGCTGGAGGCTATAGGAACATAATTACAAGCGTTTCCGCCAACATTTGAATTCAAGGAATTGAGGCAAAAAAAGAAAATCCTGCTGACACTGTCTGGGGCGTATAATGCTTGTCTAATTTTACCATTGTCTATACATGTCTAGCATGATTTATGCATGTCTATCATGTTCTATACATGTCCACGATTGTCTATACATGTCT